AGTGTTTGTTGTAAACTGTAGACCACTGAGACCCTTCAAAATGAAAGACACTTTCTTCCCTGAAAAATGTACCTTCTTTCAAAATTTTGTTACATTTGTCAGATGGGCAGATGTGAGGGTTGTTGGTGATGGTTCACTAAGAACTAAATCCATTGGCATAAATCCTTCTGCCTATTCTTGCCCTGTTCTGGGACTTGAAAATAAAAGACTTCCTGAGTGCTGGTATCAACATGGAGAGATACAGATTTACTGTCGGTCTTGGATTTCTCTTTATTCTGGGTTTCAGGAATGCCCTCTATATTGCTCACATTTTCTCCTGATGGTATACTTGCAGGACAGTCAGTTGTGTTGTACCATTCTTTTAATTTTCAATTTATTATGCACATGTTTATCTTTATTAAACTTAAAATGTTTCCTATGCAACATTTGGTACAGATTCCTTCTACCAAAGTTCAAAAAAATTTCCTTTAGCATTTCTGAGGCTATAAATATTTACATGAGCAAATTGTCTTACTTTTCTCCCTCAGAACAGGTGCTGATCTTAAGGTTAATAGCTAAGTGGTGTTTTTTGGTTTTTTAAATTTATTCTATATTGATTTGCTTACAAAGTTAGTATACATTGTGTTTCACACTATCCTTCATTCATATTGTGTTTTGTATAATCATTGTAGATCATTTTATTTTACAAAATTAATCAGCATTGCGCACTGCCCACCATCACCTGCCAGATCCATTTCCTTTACCCACCCCTTCCTCCATCCATCAAATTGTGCAACCCTGTGATTTCCTGCTGCGCATCCTCATCCCTCTGCTTCTTACCCTCACCCCTTTGGATCTTCATGCACATTTTACTAGGTATCTTTCTGTTTCTACAATAATGCTCTCATACAGTATTTGTCCTTATGGGACTGAGTTAATTCACCCAGTATAATGCTCTCCAGTCCCTCCCAGGTTAGGTAGTAATTTACAAAATCAGTGTTCCTGCGTACTGCTTAGTGTTCCATTGTGTGAATGTACCACAATTTCTTAATCCATTTGAATGTAATTGGATATTTGAACTATCTCCATGTTCTTGAGATGGGGGATAATACTATGAACATTAGTGCACAAATTTCCAGTCCTAATTTTTCTCAGGGTTTATTTCAAGCTGTGAATAACTGGGCCATATAGAATTTCTGTGTTCAGCTTTTTGAGGAAATCGCCAAACTTCCTTCCAGAATGGTTGAACCATTTTACAATCCCAGCAGTTGTTGAGAGTTCCTATCTCACCACATTCTCTCCAGCACTTTGCTTGTTGTCCTGTTAAACTTTACCACTGCGTAGCTACATGTTTTTTAAGTACTCACTACGCCATCATGTTCTTTCTGCGGTTAAGAACCATGAAGTTAGAACTGACTCAGCTGCCTGTCCATCGCGTTTTCAAAGGCAATACATTGAGTTGGCAGATAACTCCTTGCCACTAACCCACCCAACTCCCTGTGCTTTCTTTGTTTTTGTTGTTGTAGGCAAACTCCCTCTTCTTTCTCTCTCTCTCTGTCTCTCTCTCTGTCTCTCTCTGTCTCTCTCTCTCTCTCCCTCTCTCCCCCTCTCTCTCTCTCTCTCTCTCTCTCTCTCTCCCTCCCTTCCTCCCTCCCTTCCCTCCCTTCCTTTCTTTTTGTTTTGTTGTTGTATGCAAAAACTCCCTGTTCTATCTTTGGTTTTGTTGTTGTGAGTTGGAACCAACCCGTAGTTTACCCTCTAGTGGATTTTTGGGAATGGAGGAGTTTGCCCTTTCTCTGTTCTTTCTTGAGATCGTTAAATGCATCCTTTTCATATGTCGGTGTACTACTTATACTCTGAATAGCCATTTCTTTCACTTTAGAGACAGTTTCTTTTGTCTTTATATGCCATCTATAATGAAGAGAATATAAAATTTTACTATAAGAAGAGTAGTGATAAAATAACCATTTTGACCCAGGAGAATTTATTTTAGAGGGGAAATTTGAATGTGATTTTAGGTGAAGAAGGAGAAGCAGTTGGAGGTGAAGGCCTATCTTTGATAATCAGTGAAGCAGTATTGTGCTGGATATGGTGGGGATGGAATCAGTAACACAAGCAGAGGGGAAAGCAGAAAGATGCTTGCCTTTCACTCTTAGCAAGAATGAGGTCAGTGGTGGGGTGAGAATTAAAAAAAATGGAAAATGAATACGGAATTCAACAACATAGAACTCCAGAAAAGTTTGAAATGTGGAGAGGAGTGATTGTAATTCTGCCACTTAACTTGGGTCTTTCTGTAGATGATAAAAAATCTTAAAGCTGAGATAGTTTATAATTGATACTATTGACATTAAGTTAGTGCACATTTCCTGACTGGTGAAATGACATTAAAACAGAGTTAAATATGTATTTGCTTGTGGAGGAAAACATTGAGAGGGAATAATCCCTAAGTAAGCAAGGATGGTAAAGTTAGTTGCATTGAAATGGATGCCACTGGATATAGGACATGGGAAAGAATGTATCTGACAGTGTTATTTTCACATTTGTTATACTGCTTATTAACGTTGAGTCTGGAAAAAAGAAATTAGGAAGAGTGACAGTTTTGTCATGTGTGTATGTGAGGGAGACAGACACAGATGAACATATGCACACACATACAGACTTGGAGCTCTGGTTTTCTAGTTTTTCTTGAAGCACTTTGCATTTTTCCCCCCTTAAATTCCTTCCCTTAGTGCCTATACCTGGGAAGTTTAGTGTCCTAGAGTATAGGGAGTTGTGCTGCCAACCCAAAGATGGGTTATTCGAATCCTCCAAATGCTGTGCAGGAGAAAAAGGGACAGTCTCCTTCCATACAAGTTACAGTCTCTGAAAACCCACTGGAAGATCTGCTGTGACTCAGTTCCAGCTTGATGGCAGTGAGATGATGATGATGAATACTAGTACCATTCATTTTGTCAGAACATGATACATGCTATCTTGAATTGTTTGTTGTTGATCGTGAACGTCCATTTAGATTTTAAGACCTTTGATGAAAGTGTAACTAGGCCACCAGAGCTCCCCTAGAACTTTGATAACCTTTTGGTAAGAAACTACACTTCAATCCCAAAGCACCAGTCCACCAGCTTCTCTGAGGGAAACTGATAGGCAGTCTCCTCCCATGTGATTTACTACCTCTGAAAACCCGCCAGAGAGTCAGCTGTGGGATGGTTCAGACTTGATGGCAAATAACAACATACATAAAATCAGGGAGCAGTATGTAATAGCCCTGAGGGAGTTGCACTTGTAACCCAAAGATCATGACTCTGGGCATTCGAAACCCCCAGCAGATCCTCAGGATCTTCAGTGTTAAACAGTCTCCTCACCTTTAATTTCCAGCTTCAGAAGCCCTCTGGAAGGTCAGCTATGATTCAGTTATGACTCAACAGCAAGACTTCAAGTTTTATATAAAGTCTCTTCTTTGGTTGATGAAGAGTAGCTAATTGCAAACATTTGATCTGGCTTACAGTCTGAGTGGTGCTTTTTTTGCTTGTACATTTTTGTGACTTCTTTCCAATTGAGAAACTGACCGAAATCTTTAAAATGCATTTGGCAGTTAAACATAACTGCTTAAATACTGTACTGTCACCTATCCTTGTTTTATACCTAGCTTAAGTAGTTTTCTTTCCATAAACATGCAGAGTTAAATACACAATATACATATGAATGCCTTTTTGGTAGTGATTTCATCATTTTACTTTCTATTCTATATACATGGCACTAAGAGAAATCATTAGTATAGTGCTATTCTGTAATAGAAACAAATATTACCCAAGTATTAATTTATATTATGTTTTTAGGCAAAGTTTTTCTTTATTATTCTCTTTTTCAAAATGTGATTGTTGGTATAATGTACCTTCACTATTATTCTCAAAGATTTTTAATGCATTTGATAATCAGTTGAATCTGAATATTTACTTTTTTAGGTTTAAGATCTTTGTGTTTGTATTCCAAGGTTAAAAATATGGTAATAAGGAATAAACGATAGGACTTTATAAAATTTGATGAGAATTGACATTGTCATAAGTGATCTTACAACTATAATAAATTAATTTGGGGGGGATAACCAACTCTTTATTATTTGTGAGACCCCAGATGAACATAACATTGCTAAAATCTTACAGTTTCTTGTTCTCTTTCACCACTATTATGTAATTGTATGATGTTTTGTACAGCATACCTAAACTACCTGCCTGCAGTTTTAAAAATTCGTATTTGGTGTTTTGTCTTAGAAGGCCAGGAACAAGATCTTGCCAAAATATCAGGCATAAATAAAGGTAGTGAAAATTTTAGTTTGTTCCACTTGCCTGACTTTTGATGTGATCCTCTTTCAGAATTTTGTATTGTCTTAGTTAGTTAGTTAGTTAGTTAGTTAGTTACTTACTTACTTACTTACTGCGAATATATTGATTTCTTGGTATTTTATAAATTGAGGGAGAGTCCATTGAGATATTCCAGCCTTCAGGGCACTCTGGTTGTATAGTGCATTATCTGTTACGTAGAGGTTTGAGTCGACCAGCTGTTGAAGATAGATGGGTAAGTTTCCTCTTATGAAGATTTACAGCCTGGGAAACCTGATGGGGATTACAGTGAGTCAGAATTGATTCGATGGCAGTGAATTCTTATCCCCGTGTTTTGTTTTTTAACCATAGTATCATTTTCTTTAAATGAGAGAGTGAAGCGGATGCCACTGTTTTGACTTCTTTATTTTGCCAGGTCTTGTGGTCATCTTTCCCCAGGACATCTCTTAATTGGTTTTCCAGAGAAGTTTTTTTGTTTTTTTTTTAAATCTAAGTTTATTATTCAATCTTCTGTACTCCTAATTTGTGTTTCTCATTAGCCTGCCTAGTGAGCTTTGGCACGCGTTAAATTTCTTTAGCACTCTAGTCACTTGGCACTCATATGTAAATTGTCATTTTTGGACATAGGTTTTAGCAAAGGATTAAGACGTTTATTGATTTCTAAAATGAGATTTTCTTTTTTAACAGATAAGTGTAAAGCAGGAAATTACTTTTACTGATGTATCTGAGCAACTGTTGAGAGACAAAAAAATCAGAGAGCCAGTAGACTTACAGAAAAAGAAGAAGAGGAAACAACGTTCTCCTGCAAAAGTAAGAGACTATATTAAAGTGGTGGTCCCTAACCTTTTTTTTTTTTCCCGTAAATATTTTTTGTCTCTAACCTTTTGATCTCAAACTGTTGGTAAATCTTATTAAAGTACAGTACGGTACAGTAACTTGGCTGAGCCATAAGAAGAAGCAAAAGTTTTGTGGTTAGTGAACTGTAATGTACCAACTCTTCTAGCAGAGAGAAAAGGTTAAATAATTGAGATTCATCTCTCACTTTTTTTCTCCCCCTCTCTTTTTTCCTAAAATTGAACTTCCCCCCCCCCCTCTGTATTTCTCCTTTTTCTTTAAGAATTTAGGTGATACAGTGGCCTTGTTTCTCCTCATAGTAGTTTTACTTGTTTAATATTAGGATTCATCAAAATTGTACCTATAATGTGAGCTCCATAAAGACAGGAACTTTGTTTATTCATAAACATCCCATAGACCTATATTAGTAGGCATCACAGACCCTCAATAAATCATTTTTAGGTGAATGAATGAATTTTTTAAATAAACAAGCAACACAGCAAACATTGGAATTTATGGTTTACCTACTTTTTCCTTTTTATATTTTTAGTACAATGATTTTGATATTCCTGCTGGTTCTTCTGTGCAGTGTATTGTTTCTTTATTGTTATTGTTTTTTCATCTTTGCGTCTTCTGCCATGTAATTAAGCCTTCTTTAAAAAAGATTTTACATTATTTTTTGGTAGTTATTCTTTTGGGATGTATGTTACTTAAAATCTCAATTTTTCTTTATTATATAAGCAATTTTGTTTCTTTTAAAACCCAATGGTATGTTGATACCAGGAATTTTGCAAGCCTAAAGACGCTAAAACCATTGCTAGCTAGAAATTTTCCATAGAGTATTTTCACTATAAAAATAAATATTTCCTAGTCTTCTAACAGTTTGTTAAACATACACCATTATGCCATTGCTTTTGTATGACCAATCTAGCAAATTTTAAAAAATAGAGATTAAACTAACACGTTTATATTTTCACATTTCCTTTATTTCTGTCATATTCCCATTTGAGCTTTTAAAGGCCTTTGTGTATATATGTTTTTAAATTTTGTGACTTAACACTTAAAAGTATGTAAATTATTTTTATACTTAAACTGTTGTTAATGGACTTATAAACATTTTTATTAGCTATATATTATTTTTTTATATAAAAATATATGTAATGATTACATTGGGCATTTATGTTTGATTTTCCTGTTTTAAATCATGCAGCACTTATGTTTATTTTTGGATCTTTGTACTGAGCCAAAGTGCATGAGCTTTTAAAGACACCTTGCAAGACTTTGAACTTACATTTTTAAAATTTGGATAATCCAGAATGCTAACTGGAACAGGAAGTGTTACAGGTTTGAGAAATTTAGAAGAGCTATAGTGAGCCCTTTCAGAAGGCCAGATCATGACATTGGCTTTTTTGCCAAGACTGTGGAGCGAGACACACATTCAAAGCAATAATGATTTTCAGCAGGTCAAGAGATTTGGCTGCTATGCACCTTACATTGTTGCCCGTGTTTCCTAAGAAAGTCCCTGTAGGACTTTGACCCTTAAAGTTCTCTTTTTCTGGTCACCTAATGGTAAGAAGATATGCTGCAATCCCAAAGGCTGTTACTTGAGAATCTTGAGTGATATAGCACTACACCAGTGGCACTGTTAAGGCTGGTATTTGGAATCTTCTCATATTCCAAAGGCGTGCACTTCTCTGTGGGAGAAGGATGGACAATCTCCTCCCATGCAATTAAACTACATCTGAAAGCCTACTGGAAGGGTCAGCTATGGGTCACTTCTGACTCAATGGCTCATGACAATATTCTTGTTCTAGTACATCCATATTTTAACAATTTGGGTCTGTTCCTTTTGGCTTCATAGGCTCTTAAGTGAAACGGGCTAAATCAGTTTCTTGGCAATGTTACTCCTTTTAGAATTGGTACATCCCTTGCATTTTTACCAGTAATGGAGCTAAGATGCCTCTCACTAGCCTTGACTATTAGACTTTGCATGTTTTCTAGCTTAATGTGGCTCATTATAGTGCAAATTTTCATTGCTTTAGTTAGCAGTCATGTAAAACTTTTCCCTAGTTACTGACCTTTTGTATTTTATGTCTTGAGATTTATTTGTCCTTCCCTTTCTTCTTACCCTCCCCTCTTAGCTTTCTCCCTGATTCTCTGCTTTTCTCACTTTGAGGAAGTGAGGTATCTTAATGAGTTTTTTCCTAGTGCTTTATAGGATACCTCCTACTTTTTTAACCATAATAAGGTGTAAATTAAATTCTTTGTTTATAAAACAGTAAGATTTTGATAGGAAACCTCATTTTCTGAAATAACTTATAATTATGTATTTCTTTGTATTCATTGCTGATATGTAGGGAATCACGTTTAGGCATTTAAAACAAAATATATGCATGTTTTGAGTTATTTTATTGTCATATTTTCTGATACTGTTCTTTTTTTCCCCCTTTGGTATTGTTGTTTATGAAATTCCGACTAAAATAAATTCTGGCTTGTTTGTAGTAGAATGTGATTTGGAATCTTTATTTGTTGAAATGTTCTAGGTGTTTCTAAATTAGAAGCAATACAGATTAGATTTTTGCAGAACTTAAGATATTTGCTTCTCTAATTTGCGATAAATTTATTTATAATGTGTTATAGTATTTCTAGGAATATTATTTATGTATTGATATAGTTTCCAGTTGGAACTTTTAACTTATTCTGAGTATAATATATACAAGAAGATACTTTAGGGAAGTCTTTTGTGGAATTCTTAGGAGAGTGAAATTACTAAAAATGACATCAGATAATGGTGTGAGAATAGTGAAACCTACCTGAGAATTAATTTCAAATTGCATAAAATGTTGTATATGAGTGATTGTGATTGTGCACTGTTTTAAACCTTAGGCTTCACTTTCCCAGTAAATGGAGGGTTTCTGGAATCTTAAAATTTTGAAGTATAAACCAATGAGTTATTTTATGTTTTCTCAGTTTAAAAATTCACACTTGAGATTTAAATTAAAGTAACTCTGCCCTTTTGTATGAAGATAAAAGAAGCTCGTCTCAGTTTTATAAAGTAGTAAATGTAATTTGTTTTAAATGAATGAAAAATAAATTTTTGTTTCCTCAGAAAATTTTATTATGCTTAGTACATTCCTCGCTTTCACAGATCATGAATTTTTGCCATAAGGATAGTTTGAGTGTGTCACTATCGAGTCATGGTTAACGTGAAAGCACCTAACGAGATTAGAAATAATTTTTAGAGGGAAAACATATAGATTATACATTCATATGAATGTGTTTGCTTTCAGAATAGGCTTTATGGTGTGAAGGTACTATATTATAAGGTCATCTTCAACTGCTGTGGATTTTCAAGCCATATGTTCTTTCTGACCATTGTTATATGAGGAAACTTAGTTATCTTTAAGTTGTTTTAGTATCCGCAGAGTACTTTTATAAGCTGAGATACAGAAAGTTAGGGAATGTTGTTCTATAGATTGATATTTTTGACACTATCATGGATTAAACTGCTTTATGAAGCTCAATTTTTACATAATAGAAAACCCTTTTTAAGTGTCAAATTTTGTCTTATTTTATCCATTTTGTTACATATAATGTATTTGCACAAAAGTCAGATTTTAGTGTATTAGGGTTGATGTTAATATTTTTCAGAAATCACACTGTAATGAAGCCGTTCGTGATGGCTGGGATATTGGAACTCTTTTTCTTACCCTAAAAACTCCTGATTACTAGAATTTGAAGCATTTTTTGACAGCTTTTAAATAGTCCCTATTCCTTTTTTTAATAATGTACTATTCATATTTACCTTTTTATGCCTCTGTGGACTCTCCATATCATTTCCCTTTGACCTCTGCATCTGTTTTTGTTTTGTTATAGTTAAGAATTCTAGATAATCACATTTATTAAAAGTATATGGAAGTCTAGGCTTATTTTTACCCAATCTCAATGAATTCATATTAGTAGTTCTCCCTTCTGACTCTGCATTAGAACTTTTTCTCATTATAGATGATCCGTTGCTCCATCCTTGTAACTTCTTATTCGTGGACATTGTAGCTTTACCTTCAACTAGTCCACACTTAGGAACCTCAAGTCTTGATAGTTGAAGTTTATGCATAAAAAAAGTGTCATCATCTAACTTGAAACGGATTTATATGGTCTGGAGATTCACCACCTGAGAGTTACTATGTAAAGTTTGTTGAGTTAACATTAATTCCTGAGGCTTCTTTTCAGTAAAATACAGCAATATTTTCTAACCTTTATTGTAAACGTGTTATAATTTTTAAAATATGCTTTGTTAAGCATTTGAGTGAGATAAAATGGGGTGTGTTTCTCCGTATTATAAAATTTATTTCTTTTTAGGGCTCTCTGGTGATGTAGTCAATAGGGAGTTGTGCTGCTAACCCAAAGGGGGCACCTCTCTGGCGATTAGAATCCCCCCTGTAACTGCGCTAAGAAAGATAAGCAATCTCCTCCATGAGATTTACTGCCTTGGAACACCCACCAGAGAGTAGCTGGGAATCGTTTGACTCTACAGCAGTGATTTTGAATTTTTAAAATTTCAGCAGATAATTGAACGTCTGTTATGTTTCAAGACATTTTATTAGTTATTGAAGAAGGGTACTGTGTTTGTTAAAACACATTAGGTGGTCTGTGTAAGGATCGTTTATTCAGAATTATGCAGTGCTTAGAGAGGAAGAACATAGTCTATAAAACAAGTGGACTTTAAATTCAATGCAGAATTCTTTTCCATTAGTTTATTATATACCATTGCTTCTCATCCAGTATCTGGAATTTGACTACCAATATTTAAGTGGAATGATGAAAAATGAGAGAAATTTAATTAAAAATGAACAGAGCAATAAATACACCAAACATCTGTTACACTTTGTTCTTCACGTACCAGGAAGATGTGAGCACTCAGATGAACAAATTAAAAGACTAGGCCTAAAAATATGAAATACAGACTCATACTTAAG